TGTACCCATACTACCCCTATCAATATGGATGGAACTCGCCTGCACCATTACATCAACCGAGAATGCAAGCTCCTACTAGTACAGCCGTACAACCACTTTCTACCGATGACCAAGCTCCGCCATTGCCACTGAAACCACCTCCAGAGAAACCACCACCACCATCACCACCGGTACGCCACTATAAACAACACCCTATACTTGGGTTCAGTTCTTTGTTACCTCTTCTCGTGTTACATGTAATACAACATTTAAATTATTTTCTGGAGTTTTAAATTGTGTTCATCGTTATAATTCGTATCAGGTGTTACTAGTAACACTATTTGAACTGATTCGAAATAATGAACAGATATAGTTAAACATTGTGTTTTCGTGGAGTGGACAATAATATCCAAGTTCTCGTTTAAAATTTTGGGCTTTACAAATATTTCATGTACTTTCAAAGTTCATTGTTCTAAAATATTAAAAAATGACTCGCTGGCGTGCGGCTTTCTTTGTTGCCCTGATTATTGATACATTTGGCGTCTTGTTTATACACAGCTGGGTTCTGTGCGTTGTTTATCACCAAGTGGGTACTTGTAGTAAACGGGACACTCAAACCGGAATAGTAGTACCTGCAAAGATGATTATATCGCCAAAAAGGAAAAAAGAAATGTGTATTCCTACAGTTAGTTATTTTAGCGTCTTAGCATTGCAGCGACTATAGAATTACATGTGATGTATATGCTTTGATTTTGAATTGTAGAAGACTACGTCTGGTGATTACACAAGCATATATGAAATGAATAATTACGCAGTATTCCATAAATAACCACATTTATACATTATAGGGTATGATCGCGACTGCTGTAAAGTGTGGGAAGCATTTCTGGTTCACTAGTCACAATTATAACACATCACTCGTTAATACTGTACTGTAATTGGTCAAAACAGGATCCCTAGGGAGACTAGTATATCAACTAGTGCCCGGGGATGACGTCAGTCGTCACCTGATGTCGTCTGCTAGTTCGGTCGCTGATATCGGTGGTCCGCCTCGAAAGACTGGACGATTTAGCTTCAGTTCAGAAGAAGAACTTGACACACTAGTAGAAAATAAAGATGCACCGTAGACGAAAGACGCAATCTGGTTTCTAGAAGCGTATTTACATGTTTTGTGAAGAAATCGGGACACCGCTAGCAGACATCGAGAAGAAGACGGCAGACGATCTATCCACGTTCCTAGTATGAACGTGTAATGTGTTATAAAACACATATTACATGGCCTAATTCGGGCACTAGTATACGTCTATTTTCCCCTCGGGTTTGTTGGGTACCAACAACAATAGACGTATACTAGTGCCCTCATGGCCATGCAATGTGTGCTTAACATTGAATCACTCTATTTAAAAAAGCCAAAATATGCATTGTATAAACGTATTGCTATAACTATTACCCAAAACATAAGAAAATAACTGGTTATTCGGCAGATTATGGCGACGTGGGTGGTCAATTTCAAGTACCAAATCAGTCCAAAGTGGGAAACTGAGGTATGAAGGTTTTACAGGCTCAGATTCTAAAACCTCATAAATTATTCAGATGTCTTCATGTTTCCATTATAGCTGCTGCAAAAAGCGCCACCATCGGTACATTGAACACACACTTCTGGGGGAATCTACTTTTGATATCAAGTGACATTACAGAAACAGGTAAACACTAATATCACCTGCAGATGTTATACATCCGGGTAATTTCTGATATGCATAACGTGCCATCAATCATTGTACTTTACACTCGTAGTATATGGCACGTGGGTCCAATATTTAACATAACGTGATGTACCGATTCAAACAAATGATTCAGTATTTTGTTTTTCAGCATATAAACTATAACTAACCATACTACAGCATTATAGTAGTAATGAAATTAAATATTATCACAGCTGAATTAAGTTGATACACACTAATATGTAGTAGTGTGTTCACTTCGTATTAGTATATTTAAAAGTAATATATCATTTCAAATGCACAGCAGCGATTGCAAAACATAATTCCTTACCTGAATTGCTATACACTTGAGTTCACGTTATGTCTCAAAAAAATATGGTATGATGAGATTACAGACTACAATTACAATGACTCTGATAGCATCACTAGAGCTACTGGTAAATACATTCTTCGCTTTTTCACAATAATAGTATTATTACTGTACATGGGCTGTCTTGACTGGGACTAGAACACACATGCTCTTGGAACGGGTTACGTTACTGTAATTGCGAAGGAACATTTTATCTTCTATATACATATATGGGCCTATCAAGTTAAGGCTACGACCCTAAGAACACGCGCCATCCCGGTGATGCTGTAAGGCTAAAGAGTAATTGAAATTAAACTCGCTCCATCCAGTGAAAATACTTCTCGTTGCATGGTTTTATCATAGCTGATTATGCTCACCAGTGTCAGTTGCTATGGTAGCATACGAAACATTGTGTAACAAAAATAATGTTGTTTTTGCAAAGGATAATTCATTTTAAACCATAATCAGACATTATCAAACACTTTACTGAAATGAATAAGTACAGCATCTACCTGTGATTTGTTATCAGCCTTAATTGTTTGTATAGTCACTAAACCGTGGTGGGAATATTTCTGTACAATGGTTTTTTATTTTATTTTATTGATATTAATTATTCAGTGGGACGTTATTAAGTTATTATTTTCAATAGAAAACTAATTAAACGATAAATAAATTAAATTAAGTCATTCATTATTGATTATTTAATTACATTACAATTACTTTAATTGCATCTGCAATCAACCGCTAAGGAGTCTATTTTTCATCAACTCTGTCTTTTTTCACAGCATGCAAGTGCTTGTCTGGACCGTGCCGTTCTTGTTATGCGCTGTTTTACTGATATGTGTCGCACAATACGAATTTACAGCAGACGATGCGAATAGCTTGGAAGGTTTTTCACTCACAAAAATGGTCCACACTCCAAGTTATATCATGTGTATGTCTAATTGTGTTGACCTTGGATCAATGTGCGCTGCGGTCAGATACAGTGACATTAGTGACGTATGTAAAATAACTGCTGAAAATATTACCCGTGAAAACAGCGCTATTTTGGGACTTTTTAAAGATAAGTTACAAAAAGCGTTCACAGATGAAATTATGGTACGTATTTAATGTTGCATTCTACAAAACAATGCATACAAGAATTGTTAAGTTTTGTGTTGCTGATGAATTTATCTTATAACTCTATAAATAGTCACACACTGAAAAAGCTATTGTATTTATTGCAGAGAACAATTATTTATATAAAGCGCACACGTCTGCTTATAGTAACGAGACACATTTGTCGTAGTTGGGAGTTCTAATTCCGTGTTTTATGTTTATTTGTGTGTATATTTGCCTGTTACTTATTTCAAATGTTTGTCACTTCGGCCAAGGTTGTTCCCGTGAGCAATCCTAACTGAGTAGGTCGTTCGGGCCATGCTACACTAGGCTTCATTTGTGGGCTAATGTATATTCTGCACTGTGTTTGTGAGGTCAGGGAATTGATCAAATTAGTACAAGAATAGTATAAAGAACATAACATTGTACTTATTCAACTAGAAAATCACCTCATTTACTTATTTGATGCTTCATACTATTTTTACGAGTTGTTATGTATTTTTCAATTTTATACATATTTAACACTAAATGTTTTGATACTATGAAACTGGGTTAGGTATCTTGGCATCTAGTAGTGTATATAGCCCGTTTAACAAGCAATACAACCTGTAATAGTGCTACAATTTCCATGGCGAAGTAGTAATTGATGTTAATCTGAAAGACTGTCTAGATTTAAACGTTTGCCCCAGTTATGAAATACTTTACTCGAAAGCTACTTTGAATATTGACAGTCTACAAATAAATTGCTGTGCCTTCCAAACGATTAGACAATAGATCCCAGGACAGACACGTCTTTACCTATGTCTTTACCGATGTCTTTACCGATGTCTTTACCTATGTTTTTACCTATGTCTTTACCTATGTATTTACCTATGTCTTTACCGATGTCTTTACCGATGTCTTTACCTATGTCTTTACCTATGTCTTCACCTATGTCTTCACCTATGTCTTCACCTATGTCTTTAACTATGTCTTCACCTATGTCTTCACCTATGTCTTTACCTATGTCTTCACCTATGTCTTTACCTATGTCTTCACCTATGTCTTCACCTATGTCTTTACCTATGTCTTCACCTATGTCTTCACCTATGTCTTTACCTATGTCTTTACCTATGTATTTACCTATGTCTTTACCTATGTCTTTACCTATGTCTTCACCTATGTCTTCACCTATGTCTTTACCTATGTCTTTACCTATGTCTTTACCGATGTCTTTACCGATGTCTTTACCGATGTCTTTACCGATGCCTTCACCTATGTCTTTACCTATGTCTTTACCTATGTCTTTACCTATGTCTCTACCTATGTCTTTACCTATGTCTTTACCTATGTCTCTACCTATGTCTTTATCTATGTCTCTACCTACGTCTTTACCTACGTCTTTACATATGTCTCTACCTATGTCTTTATTATGTC